ATAACTAGACCCCAGGGAGCCGAAGGAGCCCTCAGATGCCTGCCTGCCACATATGGCTCTCGCTGGGAGAAGGCAGCTAGCTTCTCTCCCCAGAGGGCAGGCCCCAGCAGGAAACCCAGGGTCAAGGCTGGGGCACAGGTCTGCTCCCCCTGCACACTGCTCCCTGCTCTCTCTGGCCCTGCCCCATGTCAATGTTCAGCCAAAGTCACTTTCTGTAATCTGACCTTGTCCCTGCCATCTCCACCCCTCTCTGCCCTGTAGTGTTACAGGCTCCCTCCTTGTTCCCCATCCCTCCCTGCCCCTGGATTCTCTGTTTGTAAACATGACAGAGTGTTCTGGAGTACAATGACCCCGAAGGCAACCCCAGTGACTGAGGGCCCTTGAGGACATGGCAGCAGGGGCTGGCTAAAGCTCCCAGTCTCTAGCCCGACTGGGCAGATCCTGGAGTGAACTGGAGGGCCAATTCCAGCCGACAAACATTATCAAGGCCCACCCTGGGCCCCGCCTTGTTCTAGGTCCTGGAGGGATACAGACAGCCCGGCCCAGCCCCTGAGGGGAAGCAGGCTGAGAACCCACAATTACAATCTGTTGACGAGAAGACATCTAGTGAATGGGTAAAGGCAGACGGAGTGAGGGGAGGGGGCAGAGAAGAAATCAGGGTGGCCAGCCCTCCTATGGCCACATCACCCCAGGAGCAGGACTCTGAAGGGTAGCTTCCAACAAGGGAGCAAGTGAAGGGAACCAGCATGTAATCCAGCTTCACTATTCCTGAGCCAAACTGCCATTTTCACTCACTCAATTCACAAACAGGGGGCGCAGGAGAGCCCCCAGGTGACCGGGGTGGGAGGGCCAAGGCCTGTGCAGCAGCACCATCCTGCGTACCAATTCCTGATTTCAGCAAAGCCCCCGAGAACAAAACCAAAATACTGTGCATTGTGACAAAGAGGAGGAGAAGGGACTGAGGGACAGAAGGATCCAGGGATGCAGAATGAGAGCAAGACATGGGGCCCAGGAGGGAAGGGACAGTAGCAAACAGCAGAGTTGGCTGTGGATATCTGTGCATGCAGTCGGAGCTAAAGATATGCAGGTGTTAAGGGTCACGCATGCCCAGAAACAGGCCCTACTCCAACCCTTCCCATGGGAGACACTGCTTACCTGCCTGCCCACTCTGTGTACCAGGGGGACTGACTCAATGGACTCTTGGTCCAGCATCGAATTAGCTTCTTATAATGGTACCTAAAGGGGCTCCCACCCTGGACTTCATTTATTTATATCAAGCTGAATGGTTTCTGAAAACTTATTTGAAAGTCAAATTCAAACGACTGAAAGTCAAATAATACATTTGTGTATTATGGATGGGGTTGTACTCAGAAAGTTAAAATATATCAGCTCCTTCAGGGATTGAGAACGCTCCGGGGTTCCATGCAAAACAAATAGGAACTGAGAACATCCCAGTAAAGCGAAAGGTCATGGCTTCCTTAACTATGTTGAAACCCAGAAATCCAGGAGCCATGCCTTTCCAGAAGCCCTGCACCCTCAGGATCCCCCATATTGAACACACCCCTCTAGACAAGGAGTTGGCAAGCTAGGCCCGGCCAGCCGAATCCAGCCCACTACCACCTGTTTTGTAAGGCCTGTGAGCTAAGAGCGTTTTTACATTTTTAAATGGTTGGAAAAAAACAAAGGAAGAATTACATTTTGTGACACATGAAAATTACATGAATTCAAATTTCAGCATCCATAAATAAATTGTATTGGAGCACAACCACATTCGTTCATGTCTATGTTGTCCGTGGTTGCTTTCCCACTACAATGAAGAGTTAGGGAGTTGCAACAGAGACCAGACGACCTGAAAACCTAAAATATTTACTATCTGGCCCTTCACAGACCTGCCATAGACCAAAGTCCAGAAAGAGAATTTAGACCCACGTGTCTGACTGCTCTGCTTCTCTTCCCCTCCTCCCCTCCTCCTTCCTTCTCTCACTTTCCCTCTCCTTCTTCCTCCCATAATCAACTGGGACCAAGAAGTGGGCATATATTTATTTCCTTTACTTAAGATCTTCCCCCTTTGTG